TTGTTGGTTGGTTGGTTGGCTGGCTGGCTGGCTGGCTGGCTGGCTGGCTGGCTGGCTGGCTGGCTTGCTGGCTGGCTGGCTGGCTGGCTGGCTGGCTGGCTGGTTGGTTGGTTGGTTGGTTGGTTGAACGGTAGGTTGATTGGTTGGCTGGTTTAATTTAATCTTCTTAAACTTCATCAACAATTATTTTATTCATTTAAATTTAATTAATTATTATTAAATCTACGCTAATCATAAACTCCATCATATTTTCTCATCATTTCTCCACCACGGTCACCACCAGCCTCAAAACAGCATCCCGGATGTAATGATTTGGATGATAACGGGCGAGAAGAGGATAGCCTACTACCGCATTCCGTCAAACCTCGTCATCTGGTCTCCTAATCCTGATTACAGGGGGAAACATTGTGGGCATCTGACTACATTCATGCTACAGGTGAGATGATGATGGTGATGATGATGGTGATGATTATGATGATGATGGTGGTGGTGGTAATGGTGATGATGATGAGGAGGAGGAGGAAGAGGAGGGGTATGTGGATGACGAATTAACGATGCAAATCTACTCCAAACTCCAACTGAACCCGCAGTACCCTGGTTCGAAAGCTGTAAAGGAGAACAGGTGGGAGGTTCCTGCCATGATCCGTGGCAGAATTTGGTTGGGACTGGAGAAGGATGAAAAGGAGTGGCACCAGATGAGCAAAGAGGGCGAGCTGACTGTCTTTGCTGAAACGGTTAGTACTGATGATGATATTAGTGAGGACGAAGATGGTGATGATGATCCTGATGGTGGAAAAGTTTGAGGGGATGACATTGTGGTTGATTCTAACAATCATGACAACGCAGTACGAGAACCAAGTGAATGTGCTAGGTAAGTGGACAAACAGAGGACCAACCATGTCCAGGCCTAAGTGGACTGATGTCACTGGAAAGGTGGTACTGATGATGATGACGATGACGATGATGATGACAATGATGATGACGACAACGATGATGATGACGATGATGATGATAATGATGACGATGATGATAACAACGATGTAAGTAATTTTAGTGAAAATGACAAAAACATTTTGAGATTATTGCTTCTATGTTAATTGTCGATCACACTTTATAACTTCTTGGGTTTCAGTTTCACTTTTGGTTCGTAGCAATTGGAATTCCAGTGTATGGTGTTAAAATTTTTGTTCTCGTGTTTTTTATCTTAAATTTTTTCATTTCGTGTTCTCCATTCTTTAATTGAACTTCCCAGATTGAACTGAACAAGGAACAGTTCTACCCTCCACCAGGCTGGGTATGGGACGATGATTGGTACATCAATCCGGAATTGAGGTTTGTGGGATAGTTTTCACTTCCAGATCTCCGTTCGTTCTTGATTTTTTATCACTCTGAACCACTTTATATTGGTTTTCTTCTAGAAAATATTCTGTTTATTGAAACGATTTATTGCTTGTTAACTTTTTCTATAAAGTATACCAAGAATTTTATTCATCAGTTGTGATGAAACCAAGCGTTATTTCAACTTCAACATTTATTTAAATCAACAGTCACTCTATTAAACAAACAATCCAGTAATCACCAGCCAATTAACTAGTTAATTAACTAAACAATTAATTACTCAATCGATCATTTATTACTCTTAATAAATGACTAAATTAATTAATTAATTAATTATAATTGATACGCACAGCATGTTATTTGAGAAAGATGCAAACCACACGACATTCATGGAGGATGTTTACGAATGCCAGAGTAGGATCGTTGGCGGAAACTGGAAACCAGCAGCCGTACCATACTCGGATGTGGTTCGTTGGATCAAAAAAAAAAAAATTATTTTATTCATCATTTTTGTGTGTTTTTTTTTGAATGTCTGCTTTTTTTAGGATTTTTGGTTGTAAATATTTTAATTAGGAGTGAATGGATTTATACCTACGCTCGTTTGGTGCTTGTTATGTTACGTCATCACCGTCGTCATCATCATCCACCCTTTCTTCTTCACTATCGTTCATCATTATCTTCAGAGTCATCATCAAGATTACAAACAGCTCTTTGTAATTCTTACCACCACCATCATCATCGTCGTCGACGTCACCATCAACGTCACCGCCATCATCACTATCACTTTCATCACCATCTTCATTATCATCATCATCATCATCATCATCATTACCATCTTTATTATCTTCATCGTCATCATCATTCACAGAAAGGTGACGCGTGTTCGGGCATTAAGGAGATTGAACTTCCGGCTGGGTGGGAATGGCAGGACGACTGGCAGGTCGACCTCAACCGGGCCGTCGACGAGAATGGTGAAACATTTGTTATTATTATTATTATTATTATTATTATTATTATTATTATTATTATTAAAATAATAATAATAATAATTATTATTATTATTATTTGTAGTAGTAGTAGTAGTAGTAGTAGTAGTAGTAGTAGTAGTAGTAGTAGTAATAGTAGTAGTATTAGTAGTAGTAGTCGTGGTAGTGGTTGTAGTCGTGGTAGTGTTATTATTATCAGCGTCGTCATCATTCTCCACACTACCATCCTCATCATCTCCATCCTCATTATCTCCATCCTCATCATCTCCATCCTTCATCATCTCCATCCTTCATCATCTCCATCCTTCATCATCTCCATCCTCATCATCTCCATCCTTCATCATCAACATCTTCATCATCTCCATCCTTCATCATCTCCATCCTCATCATCTCCATCCTTCATCATCTCCATTCTTCATCATCTCCATCCTCATCATCTCCATCCTCATCATCTCCATCCCTCATCATCTCCATCCTTCATCATCTCCATCCTTCATCATCTCCATCCTTCATCATCAACATCTTCATCATCTCCATCCTCATCATCTCCATCCTCATCATCTCCATCCTCATCATCTCCATCCTTCATCATCTTCACAAGGCTGGGAATACGCAGCTGACGTGACGCTGGGAGGTTACGGTCCAGTGGAGAAGATGTTCCACATGTGTAGGAGACGACGCTGGCTCCGAACGAGGAACCTCGTTAAGACACAGAGCATGCAAGCCGAACAGGTTACCATCCCATCTTTCCATCTTTCAATTTCTTTTCAGTTTATTTCAGCGGTATCAACAACAAAGACGCACTGTGTGAAATGCACGTAGATCGAGGCGTCACACGTGAGAATCTTTCAGCATTTGAACACAGTCATAGCAACAGCAGTGCCATGCTTCTTAACCATTGCCTCTCTCAACCATTGTATAATATAAATAGTTATTTTGACGCTTAATGAAAATAGTATTTTATTTGGCACTATTCTCTAATCTTCAAGAAGCGGTTGGCTTTGAATACTTCAACAAAACCTGACTTACAATTCGGCACAGGAGCGAATTAGCGCAATGAATTAAGAAAGTTGGATCACTCCAGAGCATCTTTTGCTCTGAAAAAATACTTTTTTATTATCAATAGTTGTAGCAAAATCTTTTTCAAACATTACCATCAACACAATCTGTCAAAAAAAACCACACCTACCACTTGAACCCTGAACCCACATCAAAATCCATCACCAACCAGGTTAAACAGAAGGAAATGTTTGCAGAGGGCTGGGAGTACGCCCCTCTGTTCACGATGACCTTCCATCTGAAGGAACGAAAAATGGACCTGGTACGAAGAAGGAGGTGGCACAGGAAAATGGTCCCGGAAAGTAAAAAGGAAGCCAATTCCGCCATATTCCAGTTCTCTACTGCACTGGTTAGAACCGATTATGATGATGATGATGATGATGATGATTATGGTGATGATTAATGAAAATCTTAAATTTATTTGGCGATGTTTAATTTTAGTTTAGAGATATTTTGCTGTGTTGTATGATGAGGATGAAAGTGATGACGATAAGAATGGGGCAAGTTTCCATCATCATTTTTATTCAATTGAACCAAGGACAACAAGTCTAATATTCATTTCAAACGACGCCATTGTTAATTGCATTAATATTTTATTTTTTGCCCTGATTGTTGTTGTTGTTGTTGTTCATTATCATATATGACGTCATTTTCATTATCATTTTTCCGTTTAAAATAGTAAAAAGTAAATAACAGTATTGACAACGTTAAAGCCTGAACGAACATAGAGTTAATGCTAATGAGATAACATTTCAGTAATAATTTTATACGATGGGCCGTGTTAACATCCTGAATGAATGAATGACTGACTGACTAAACGAACGAATGAAGGAAGAAGAGAAAGAAGAGATGGAGAAAGATGAGGATGAGGAGGGGGATGGAGATGGTGGTGAGAAAAAAAAGACCGATGTAAGAATATATAAATGTGAATAAAGGTGAAAGAATATACATTATTAATCTGCCTATGCAAATTAACACTTAATGAATATTTATAGATTATAATAAGCTAACGTGGGATCTATTGTCGTGAATAAATTAGTTTTAATTGGCTAATGTAATAACGTCTTGAGGTGGAAGAGGTAGATTGTTCTTATTCGTGGTGAATTTGCATATGCATGGTTAGAACTAGAACTCGGAACATGAATGTTAATAATATATTATAATAATAATAATATAATCTAATATATATATATATATATATACATATATATATACAATAATAATAATACATGTTTAAACTGTGGTTGCAAATAGTTTTTTTGGTTGTGTTATTACACTTCTTTCTCTGCCAGCAAAAATGCGACTACACATTTTGTAGCGTGTTGAAATGTGTTGAAAATTATTCTATTGGGTTTGCTAGTTTTATAAATGTTATTTATTTCGTAATAACATACTTAAAATAACTGGCAGGGCACAATAAACCAGTACCGTTAAAGTGATAGTATTTATAATTTTAGATATAATTTAAATAATAATAATAATTATTATGATGAATCAAAAATATCAATAACATCTTTGAGGTTGCTTACTTGGCTAAATGTACATACGCTCTATAAATTAGCGTGGGGTTTAAACTTTATTAAAATTATTATTATTTATTATTATTATTCTAATTTGTGTATATATATATATATATATATATATATATAACCACAATTTTTTGAAGGAAACAACTGCAGATTATTTTGATATGAAAATTCGTATTTTTTTTTAACTTAGGAACCTGAAGTAAGGAATAAAACAAAAATAATAACATCTATGATCGTTATTTCAATATTGTTTATTACTATTTTTATTATTATTATTTGTAGTAGTATTAGTAGCAGTAGTAGCAGTAGTAGTAGTAGCAGTAGTTTTAGTAGTAGTAGCAGTAATAATGGTGGTGGTAGTAGTAATAGTAGTAGTAGTAATAGCAGTAGTGATGACATTAGTAGTTGTAGCAGCAGCAATAGCATTATTTTTCTTTATATTTTTACAATTACTAATATTAACACTAATACTTCCATGGTTTTACATATTTAATTTTTAATTTTCTCATTTTTATTATTATTTTATTATTCTTTATTCAGTATTTTTCTCGTAAATTATTTTATTTGTTATTAGTATATGTATTTCTATCGCATAATTTCTGACAAATGTCAGACTACCATAGCTAGAGCTAACATGCTTAATAACTCGGGACCATGTTGAATTCATTTACTATAATATTCTATATAACTGGAGACAAAGAAGTTTTTTTTGTAATCGTTTTTTTTGGAGAAAAGGATAAATTTTTAAAAATGCAAGTTATTTTATATTTTCTTACAAAATCTAACTTACATAACACATTCGTAATGATTAATATTTCATGTTTCAATTACATTACAGTGTAGTGACAATTTAACATCCAAATGATAACCAACGTTGATAACATCAATATGACATCATAATAACATCAACTAATTTATCTGGTAGTTGTTTTTCTAATTTAATTTTTCTATATCTCATTTTTAAATTTTCTTAATAAACATAGGCGAAAGAAGGCACGGTTAAGACATATGTTAGTTGGTTTTATTCATTTTCAAACTAATTGCTTTCTCAAATTTTTACTATTATGATCATTTTATAAATTTACTCAATTTCATAATTATTTCATTTCATAGATTTGATATTTTGGAGAGTTATCGTCGGAAATTTTATTAGCTTATATGAAAATTAATTTTGTAGACCAACCCAACATACGTGAACTAACTACATTTGTTCATTAATATTTCTTCACATTATAAACTCTTAAAAATTGATTCTAAACAATGTTTATTGCCTACATTGCACACAAACAAACACACAAACATACACTCACACGTACACACACACAAACAAACATTAATATGTAAATTTGAACATTTTATAACAAAACAACGTTTGACATTATTCTAAAGAGCACACACAACTCATAAAATCGCGATGCATTCAAATAAACTTACAAACTTGATTTTACAATTAATATATGCCACCCAAATGGAGACAAATAACCAAACTAGTACACAAACAAACAAACACAGGAAGACGCTATAGCGAAGAGTGTAACATCGGCTCCCAGAATGTTCATGTACGCCAAAAGTATGTCACAGCCAATTATTTCAATTTACTTCTTCTACACTTCTCAGGAATTTTACAATTTATTAATACTTCTTCCTCTCAACTTCAATAACAAATGTTATTGAAGAAATGAACAAATATTAAAAATTCTGTATCAATATTACACTCTTATTAATGCGTACAAAGACAGACATACATACACGCACTAACACGCACATACACACACACTCAACACACGCACGCACATACACACACACACACACATACGTACCTACAGAGGGATTCAGATACCAGCTGAGAGCATACATCTACCAGGCCAGAGACCTCTTGGCTGGAGACTCAAACGGTTTGTCGGATCCATTTGCCAGGATCATATTCCTCAGTCAGTCACAATCGACTGAGAAGATCATGAAGACTCTTTGCCCTACATGGGATCAAACTCTCATCTTTGAATCCGTCAAGATCTGGGGAGATCCGAAGAACGTTTTTGAGTACCCGCCAGATGTCATCATGGAGATTTTTGATTTTGATACCTTTGTTGGTCTTCATTTTTAGTGCAATTCTTGTAATGTTCATGTTTTTTATTATACTTCGTTTTAATCTTTCAATATCTATTTTTAATTGCTATTCATTTATAATAATAAATTGTAATAAACCGACAACTGCAGTTTTAGTACTTATCATTACAAATTGTTTCGAATACAAGAAAAACGAAAACGATTAGTACCACTTCTACCATTAACCTTCTCCATATGTTATCCACGAAGGGTAGCGCTCAGTATTTGGGCAGGGCTTTTGGAAAGCCGGTGGTGAAGTTAGATCCGACTGACACAAAACAGCCAGTCCTGCTGAAATGGTACCCAGTTAAGAAGGGAGACCAAGATGGAGGAGAGGTTCTGGCGGCATTCGAGTTGTTGCTGGTCAGTCAGTTTTTGACAGTGCAAATTGGTAGTAATGACTTTTATGAATTGTGTCGGGAAAAAAAGTTGTACTTAATCAAGATAGTTATGTTGATGTTGAAAATGATCAGTTATTAAAACGATCACTTTTAAAATGTTGTTGAAAACTGTGTATTTATTTTCTAGATTGACGGACCAAAAGAACCGCCATTTCCGCCTCCAAAACGAGGAAATTTCTACATGGTCCCAAATGGGATTAGGCCCCAAATGGCCAGGACTGCTGTCGAGGTCAATTACATTAATTATTATTGTAATTATTGTTATTTTATTTTTACAGCCATGTTGCTGGCAACTGCCTGGAGTTCATCGGACTCCTAAGGCGTAGATTTTAGTTTTCGATAGATAAGAATTTTCTAAGTATGTTCGGTGGTACCTGGAAGGGCCATCTTCTGCACATGAGCAACACTTTCTTGCCCAGGTAATTCATCAAAGTATTCCTGTGGACATCGGCGTACTGCTCTTAGCACGCCAATTGTTTTCGCACGTAGGTGTTATTTCAATTTCAAGGTCTTTATATTTGCCTAATTTTTCAACTTCTTTAAGAGTAAAATTAGCTTCATTAAAAACCGCAACATTGACCTGGAGGCATCTTTTGTTACCTCTCTCCCAATGGACGATATTGGGTCGGTTAGCCCCAATATTTCGATCGCTGTTGATGACATATGGTACATGAATGTCGAGTCGTTGAACTCGGTAATTTTTTCGGGCTGGAGATCATAGCAAAGATCAGACACTTTTTGACCAAGTCCTTTCAGAACGGACCAGTGCAAGTAACAAGCAACCCTGTTGTGTCTCTGCATGTCATGTATCATGTGTCACGTATGCGTCACAGCACAGCCACATTCGTTTTTGGTCTGGTGCTGCTATAATGAGACACTCTGTTTCGCCTTGAAGTTCAGAGTTGTGAAGCCATCCAAACTTCAACAGCGTTTTTTATTCATTGTTATTATTATTATTATTATTATCGTCATCATCGTCATCATCATTAATTTGCTTATTAATTCAGTTTTCAGAGATTGATTGATTATTGGTTATATAATAATTATTGGTTGAGGTGTAGTTTATGAGATATTTGTAAATACATATGAAGGTTGTATTTTCGTCATTTTATTTCAATTTGAATTATTCACCCTCAGGTGATGTGCTGGGGTCTGAGAAACATGAAAAAGTTCCAACTGTTGGAAGTTTCCTCACCCAACGTTGAGATTGAAATCAACGGCACCATCTTGGAGTCAAAGGTCATCAGAGACATGTCGAAGAATCCGAACTTTGACGATCCAATGCTATTTTTTGACGTGGTATGGGTTATTCATCTAATTAATTAATTAAAATTTAATCTAATTAAACTAATTAATTAATTGATTGATCAATTAATTAATTAGTTTAATTACTAATTAATTAGTTGATTTTAACTTATACGTATGTTAAATATGTTAGATACGTATATATCTCCCAAATGGTTTTTTTATTTACTTGTTCGTTTGACTTCTTTATTTGTTTACTCTAATTTTTTTATTTATTGTCATTCTTTTTGTGATGTCCGGTCATTTTTTGCTACAAGATGAGTAAAAACTCTTTTATAAAAAAAAAGTCAAATCAACTTTATATATACCTGTTTTCATAAAACGCCCATTTACCCAATTAAATATTTACTCATTTAATCACTCTCACTCATTCACTCATTTTTTCACTCATTCTCTCACGCACTCATTCGCTCATTCATTCATTCACTTTCCAACTGACGCCAACACTTGCGAAAGATGCTTCCGAAAGAAGAATTGTACGCTCCTCCGATAAACATAAGGGTCAAGGACAACAGGGCTTTTGGTAGGAGACCTCTCGTCGGCATCCACACCATCACGTCCCTGGAACCGTACAGGTGTGACCCGGATGACCTTGAAAATGATGAAGATTCCGATAAGAGCAATCAGTTGGCTGGTTGGTGGTGTGCGAGTGAGGTGATAATAATGATGATGATGGGTGTAAGAGTGTGATGATGATGATGGGTATAAGAGTGTGATGACGATGATGGGTATAAGAGTGTGATGATGAGTAGAATAATGATGACGATTGTGATGATGGTGGTGAGTGTGATAATGATGCTGAATGAGATGATGATGAATATGAAACAAGGTGATGATGATAACGTGAAATGTCAAACTGCAGGCAGTCTTTTCAACAACGCCGTTCAGAGGAAAGCTTCCGTGATGAGTGTCAAGAGTAAAGATATGGTGCTGGTTGGTACCATCATTCTGATGTTTCATCATTGTAATCATCAACCATACTCATTTAAAATTCATCATCGCCATCGTCCTTCACTTTACTCACAAACTCATCATGTTCTTCATTATCACCATCACATCATCTTCTCACATTCCACTTTCTACACTTGTCGTCTTCTTCTTCATCGCAGGCTATAGAGGAGGAAGTTGATGAAGACATCGACTGGTGGTCCAAGTTCTATGCGTCAGTCGGAGAGATGGACAAATGCAAGAAATACGTCGATCTTGGATATGATAAGTTACAAGTTGGTTTTTTGTACCAACATAATCAGTTTATAAAAACAAATACTTTCATAGTTTGACTGCCTGCAAACGCTTGTTGAATCGTGTTGCAGTTGAGGTACCACATGCAAGATATTGTATTTCTTATAACCCAACGTCTTTGCATCGTTTTAATGTTTGCCGTGTGTGTTTTAAATTTTTCTGTCTTCACTGCTTCACGAACATTTCATTGCACTGATTGCATTCATCACCAATTTTTCGTTATAATTAACATCGGAATTTCAATCATTATTGTCATCTTCGTCATCTTCACCATCATCATTATTGTCGCTAGGTGTATGCCACAGAACTCGAAAAGGTTAAAGTTCACAGAGAGTTCAACGATTTCTGTTCGACCTTCCCCTTGACTAGGGGCAAGGCCATTGATGACGAAGAGGGAACCGTGGCAGGAGAGTTCAAGGTCAGCAAATTATGACGATAGTGATGACGGCGACGGTGATAATTATGATGGTAAGATGATTATGAAGTTGAGTGAAACGTTACTCATTTTACGATGAAAATGAAAAAACGCGGTAACATCGCGTTTTTTCTGTTTGATTTCATTGACTTAAAGATGATGGCGATAATAATCACGACCTGATTGAAATAAATTGAGATTTTATTGTCCAGTTGTAGGTAGTAGTAAATAACACCAACGTTTTATGAAAATATCCTACAAAACATTTTTCCAACAACTCCCACACAGGGCACATTTTACGTCTACCCCCTCCCTGGAGATCTCCAAGCCCCAATGCCCCCCCGAATTCTCAAAAACCTGCCAACCAGTGGGCCCGTGGAGTGCCTGGTTAGAGTTTACGCCCTGAGGGCTTATGACTTGCAATCCAATGATCCCAGTGGCTTGGTTAGTTGGTTGGTTGGTCAGTTCGTCTGTTGGGTGATCGGTTGGTTGGTTTATTGGTTGGTTGGTTGATTGATTGAATGATTAGGTGATTGGTTGGTTGAATTGTTGGTTAGTCGGTCGGTTGGATTGTTGGTTGGTTGGCTGTTTGTTTGTTGGTTGGATGTCTTTCTTGTCGGCTTGTTATTATCATTATAATACATTACAATTATAAAAACTATTTTCAATAAAGTTTATTTTTAAAATAATTGGGTTAATAAAATGAAAAAGAAATCTATCAAATGAAAACGGCATCGTCTCAATTCTTCTCAGGCTGATCCATACATTCAAATTAAAATCGGCAAAACAAAAGTAGAGAACAACAACGAGTATATTCCAAACACACTCAATCCTGTCTTTGGAAAGTAGGAAATAAATTGTGGTTTTGAATGAGTGATCGGATGAATAAATGAGTGAATGAATAAATGAATGAATGAATGAATGAATGAAGGAAGGAATGAATGAATGAATGAATGAATGAATGAATGAATGAATGAATGAATGAATGAATGAATGAATGAATGAATGAATGAATGAATGAATGAATGAATGAATGAATGAATGAATGAATGAATGAATGAATGAATGAATGAATGAATGAAGTAACGAACGAACGAACGAACAAACGAACGAACGAACGAACGAACGAATGAACGAACGAACGAATGAGTGAATGATAAAATAGATGAAGAAATACTGTATAAAGATAAATAAACGTCTGATTTCCCAATCGATATATTGATTAAAATAACGGCACATGTTTGGATGCTTATTTTCAGAATGTTTGAAGTAAAGGCAACTCTGCCAAGAGATAAAGACTTAATCGTAAGAGTCAGAGACTACGATTTAATTGGTAAGTTCTATTTTAAAAGTATTTTTTCAGAAAATTTCATTTAATTTGTTCATTCTTCCATTCATTCATCCGTTTATTTAATTATTCTTTCATTCATTTATTCATTCATTCATTCAACAGTCAATCAAGCAATCAATCAACCATTTTTCTATTTATTCATTCATATGTTAATTCAATCAATCAGTCAGTCAATCAATCAATCATTTGTTCAATCAATTATTCATTCATTCACTTATTCATTTCTTTTTCATGCATTTATTCATTCATTTATTAATTCATTCATTCATTCATTCATTCATTCACCTCATCCACAAGGATCTGATGATACGATCGGAGAGACGATAGTCGACCTCGAGAATAGGTTCCTAACGAAGTGCAGGGCAACTGTCGGCTTGCCTCAGTCATACTGCACGTTAGTCTTTAGTGATGATGATGAGGAAGAAGATGATGACGATGGTGATGACGATAATGATAGTAATGATGATGACGACGATGACGACGACGATGTTTTTGGTGATGCGATTTCCAATGACGATGATGAATTTTTGATAGTTTCTCAACATCCACCATCGTCATCATCTTATTCACCATCATATTCATCCTCTCACTCACCAACATCATTTTCTTACTCATCGTTTTCACCATCTTTACCGCCACCATCACTATTACTACCACGACAACCTCTACCACCACCACCACAGAACCGGCATCTGCAAGTGGCGAGACAGCAAGCTGCCCTCAGAGATCCTCGAAGATTTCTGCAGCAATCGCATGAAGGGTGTGGCCCCGGTGTACGCCAACGACGGTAACGTCATCACCATCGGTCGGAAGAGTTTCTCCCTCTCTGATTTTGGTTGGAAAATTTTAAATTTTATCCTATGTGGGTGTTTGATTGTACCTTTTTGATGATAATTAATTATTTGAGTAGTCGATTTGCTATTAAAAAACTAATTAATTTGTTGATTCAGTTTGTTAATTCATTTACTTAATCAATCGATCCATTCATTTTTTATTCATTAATTTTTCCATACTCTCACTCATTTATCCAAATATTCATCGACTCATACATCCATATAACCATCCATCCGTCTAATCATTCATTCATTCATCCATATAACCATCCATCCATCCAGTCATTCATATAATCATTCATTCATTCATCCATATAACCAAAAAACCACTCATCTATTTGCCCACTAGAAACGAAAACCATATCCCACGGTCACCTCGGCCCGTCAAAAGAACGGCTGGCCCTCCACGTCCTCAACACCCTGCCCTCTGAATACTGCGGCTACCCCTTAGTCGTTGAACACGTCGAAACAAGGCCCTTGTTCAACACCCTGCAACCTGGAATAGAGCAGGTTTGTGTTGGCGTGTGTCTGTGTGTGTGGTGTTGTGTGTGTGTGCGTGTGTATGTGTGTGTGTGTGCGTGTGTAATGATGTTAGTTTATTTTTGTCTATATCTTTACCAAGTTTTTAAAAATTTAAACATTTAAAATTTTTTACGTAATTTTTTATGTAAAAATTATGTAAACTAATCGCCTTTTTTATTTCATTCAGGCACTTTTCTCATCAGTCATGATGCGCTGTTTTTATTTGTCTTTATTTATTTTATCACTTTATATTTTAATTAATTAATTTTTTTTCAATTCGTCTTTCCATCAATCAATTAACTGATCCAGTCCGTACATTCCTTATAGCAACTCATGTAGGATGTTTTTAGGTTTATCTACTCAAACACCTATTTATCTTTTTTTTTAATCACTCACTCATTCTCATTCTGACTCACTCAATGACTCACTCACTCACTCACTCACTCACTCACTCACTCATTCACTCATTTATTAACTCATTCACTCACTCATTCACTTACTTACGCACTCATTCATTCACTCACTCATCCAACCACCAATCACGTGACAGGGGAAGATTCAGATGTGGGTGGATATCTTCCCCATTCTGTTGGGCCCTCCAGGACCGCCCGTTGATATATCCGCCAGGAAACCCAAGAAGTCTGTTGTTGAATGTGTTGATGATGTTTATAATGTCGTTGTTGTTTTTTGGCTGTTGAGGATGTTGTTGTTGTTGCTGTTTTTGTTGATGATGCTGATGATGATGTTGATGAGATTGCGATGCTGGTGACGATTTGAAATGAGAATTTTGAAAATATTGTTTCTGGAATTTCCTTCTTCCTCCTTCTCCCAGTTACGAACTTCGCATCGTCATCTGGAACACGAAGGACGTCATCCTAGAGGAGACATCCATCACGGGCGAAAAAATGAGCGACATCTACGTGAAGGGATGGATTGGCAATCCGGAAGAGAAACAGGAAACGGATGTGCATTATAGGTCGGTTGGTTTGATTAGTCGGCCGATCGGTTGAATGAATAAATAAAAGTTTATTAACAAATTATTTTACTCATCCTGTCGATTTCAAATTTAAAGGTCTTTAGACGGTGAAGGAAATTTCAACTGGCGTTTCGTCTTCCCATTCCAGTACATCCCGGCCGAGCAGTGCCTGGTCATTCACGAAAAGGAACACTTCTGGAGTCTGGACAAGACGGAACACAGACTGCCTCCGATGCTGACCATCCAGATCTGGGATAACGACAAATTCTCTAAAGACGACTTCTTAGGTTGTTGGTTCGTTCGTTGACTGGCTGGATGGGTTACAAGTCGTCGGTGTCTTATTGGATGAATGAATGTTTAATTGTTTAACTTAATTCACTAAATTTAAAATGATTGAATACATTAGTAGCTGAAAATAAGAAATATTTTGAATGTACAGACCCATGAGTCATAAAACAATAACAACCAATAAAAAATAAATTTTACTTTTCATAAATGAATAATCGCAACGAAATAACTGAGACTACATCGTTGCAGTTCAACTCTTAACTTTACAACACTCCAATGACGGCAGGTTCTCTCGAGCTGAACCTCAACTCCATGCCTAACCCGACGAAATCTTCTAGCAAGTGCACGCTGGAGCAGCTACCACAGTTTCACAAATCAGGCAATCCCGTCAAGCTGATCTCGCTGTTTGAGAACAAGAGGGTGAAAGGGTTCTGGCCGTGCTTCAGCGATGAGTCCGGCCAGGCTGACCTGACGGTTGGTTTATTTTTCTAACACGCAATCTTTCAGTTATAATCTTTTCCAATTTAATCTTTCAACTCATCTGCCCATTATTAGTTCAATCAATCTTACCATAAAGAGCGTCATTTTAAATTTTTAAATAACAAAATTGAGATTTTACCTGTAGACAAAAAAGATGTAGACATTTTTTGTTCATATCGTCAATTCTCATTGTAATACCATCAATCAGCCATCAACCATCCAGCCAACAACCAACTAACACTATATCCTAAGCATCCATCAACCAACCAATCGTAAACAGCCTTCAACCAGCAAATCACAAACAACAAACCAATCACAAACAGGGTAAAGTAGAGATGGAGTTGGAGCTAGTATGTGGAGGAGACATCGAACAGAAACCAGTTGGAAAAGCCAGAGAAGATCCCAATCAGTTCCCATTCCTTGATCCACCAAAGTTGGTTTCATTGTCGTCATTCTTATCATTACATCATGCCATTATCACCGTGACTATGGTGATCATCATCGTCTTAGAAACCTTTCCCCTTCTCACTATATTTATCAACTTTCTTAACATTTGCACCATTCCAAACATCGTCACCATCATCATTATCATTACCAAAATGACGTCATCATCAACTTAGTACCATCATCACCATCACTTCTACAGACGTCCAGAGACATCATTTTTCTGGTTTACATCGCCCTGGAAGGCATTCAAATTCATCATCTGGAAGAAATTCAAGTGGTACTTCATCACCATTCTCGTCGTTTTCTTCATCGGTCTCTTCCTCTTCCTCTTCTTTTACGCACTTCCGGTTGGTGATGATGAAGATACACACACACACACACACACACAAACACGCATACACACACAACACACACATCACATACACACGCACGCAACACATCCCTACACACACTCGCACACACGCACAGACATGCATCATGATGACAATTACGGTGGTAGTGATTATGGTGATGATGATAAAGGTTGTGATGATGATGATGGTGGTGATGATGATAAAAGTTGATGATGGTGGTGATGGTGGTAGTAATGATGATGGTGAATAAAAATTTATAATTTCAAAAATCAAAATTTTTTATATTACAATTTTTCTCCTCTATAATTTCTAGGGAGCAGCTGCTAGAAGAATCGTTGGCGGGTGACCAAATAACACAATTGCGAAATCATATTATTCCGTCTTAAATTATAACGTATAATATAAATAATCAACCTAATTAACTCAGTTTACCTACACAATAATAATTATAGGTTATAAATTCATAGAATGTAACCATAATTTTAAAATAATATGATAATATGTTATGATAATAAAATAATGTAATTAACATGGCTATGAATCCGTTGTTTCACCATATATCATTTGCTGATCGTTTCTTTGTATGTTTTTTTCCATTCTTAATTAATATATCTAATATGATTGAATCTTCTGCTTTAAAATAATCATATCCTAATAGTAATAACGTTAATTATGTTAAAATAGATGATTATAATTGTGATAATAATATAATAATTGATAACGGGGGTGATGATAATGATAATGTCTGGAGGACGTAATAGCCTAGTGGTTAAGATTGTCTGGTCGTGTTAAGCATTGACCAGGTTCGAATACGACCAAAGGATTCCATCATATCACATGCATTATGTTGGATGCGTCATTTAGCACGTATTCATATACACTGCTTAAGTGCTGGCAATTTCTTTGAACCTTGGAGTGGTGTAGATGACCTTTAACTTTTTTTTTTAGGTCATAATAATCACAACACATTCATAGGAACGGTGAATTGTTATATATGCAATAAAATTTTTCATCTGTATTCATTCACATCTTTGTCATTTTTTTTTAAATTTCTGAATTTAATGAAAAAATTAAAATTAGATGTTATATTTATGTTATTTGTTAGGAATTTTTCTGAAAAATTAGTTAAATTCTTGTTGTAAATAAAAAAAAAACAATTTTTATTTTTTAATATTTAAAAATTTTATATTTATTCTTACTTATTTATTTATTTTTATTCACGTTTTCCAACAGTCGTGTTTTTTTTGTGTTATCAAAATATAGAAAATATAAGAACTACACACATTCTGAATTAATCTTTTCTTCATTCAATTAAAACAATATTAATTTTTGTTAAATACTTCATTTATTTATCTTTAAGCATTTTCAACAAATATCACATTGATGTAATTGAATAATAATCAATCATCCAACTTAACTAGAGCTGACAAATATCAACTACATACTCACCTTTAACCATGAATACTCCTAACTCGTTCGTTGTACATCATATGTTGTATCATATGTTGTACATCATATGTTGTACATCATACATGCATATATATACCCAAAACATTCTGTTTCGGCTTATAAAATTATGCTTATGCAAACGTATTTAACCGTTTATATACTAGAAAAACATCTGACGTGATAATAATTCTCGAGTATCTTCATCACATATTCACAATTTATTTATTTTCTATCTATTTATCATTGGAAGAATTGTAATAGTAATTTATAATGGCGAACAAAAAAGTTAATAAACGCGGTGCATCTTAAAAGTCTTATATGAAATTGAAGTTATGTAATAACCTATCTAGTTTGTTAAATTTGTAAACGAATGTTTGTTGTGTTTTGATTTGTCTACCAACACATAATTTTACACATCCACACACACACACACACACACACGACACACATACACACAGCTCTCTCTCTTTCACACACGCACATACACATGCATACACACAAACACGTAGATCCACATATGAGCATTGGAAAACACACATTTATATATACCCATACATTTTTTATTTGTCATATTTACATTTTAAAGTGCACGAGATGATATGCTTGAAACGTTGACAAATATTTTATTTATGTTATTTAAATATGAAAATTAAAAATAAAAAAAATATAATTATTAATATTTTTGCTATGATCTATAATATATAATTATATTAATATTGGTTATTACACCTATGTATCAGTTCAAAGATTGTTATGATATATAAAACAATCATCGTCAATATCCCAGCTATCAGCCTAATCCCACAACTTACGAATAGACTTTTATATCCCACATACGATCTGTCATTTAAATCATAATAATTTATATATATACACGGGCATAAACAACTTTTTAAAATGTTTATCAGAATAATAAAATAATATTTGAAAAGAAAATTAACAAGAAACTTTGTTTTATTTACGTTTTTTATCTATAAAATCTTAAAGATCATCTTAATTTGGCTCATGTACGATTTAACATAGGATTGTCAAAAAAATTTTAATAAGAGATAACATTTTTCCAACATATCTGAAATGTTAATTTGGGGTTTTTTCAGGCGTTTTTTCCAATATTTTTCCAATTTTGACTTAATTTTTGTCGAAATATCTTCAATATTCGTGAATATATTGTACATTTACACCTTATTACCTTCAATAGTATCTTCATTCGTTTTTATATTCACTCCATCTTTCTTCATTCATTCATTTATTTACTTTTTATTTTGTTGTAAACTATTTATGAGAAAATTGAGATAATGTTTTGTGGAATTAACCAAAGCATTGTAAAAACCATTGACGTGATGTTCTTGTTTTAAAAGCCATGTTTGTGTGTCATCAGATCTATTTCAAATGTTATTGTTACCTACTTGTTTGTTAGCGTCAAATTGGATTTTCTGATTCTAAATTCTTTACACTCACATACACATACACACTATCACAACACACACACACACATATAAAACACACACACAATTACACTGTTTGCCTATAATAATTATTCTTTTTTTTTAATTTTTCAAAAAATGGTACCTCTGAAGGGCTTATGCATCTTAATTATTCATTTGAATATTTTTATCTCATTTCATTTCACATTTTTTGACCCAAAATTAAAAATGTTCAACTTAAAAATTGATATATTTCATTTGCCACATTTGAAAAAGAAAAATGTTTATGTGTTTGTTTGTTCAACTCAAAAATTGATATATTTCATTTGCCACATTTGAAAAAGAAAAATGTTTATGTGTGTGTGTGTTTGTTTGTTTGTGTTTGTTTGTGAGTGTTTGCGTGTATTTGTGTGTGTGTGTGTGTGTGTGTGTTGTGCGTGTTACTAGAATTTTCTGGGAATTGTTCAATTTGCTGAAAAGAGAGTTATCCAAGTTCATCATGAAAATTAAATGAAACTTGTTTTCCAAATTCATCATGCAGATAAGGCCTTATTTCGATTTTTCACAAATCATCTTCAGTGCAGGTTTGGTTTATATAGTTTGTTTAGACAAAGCGAAGTTCTTTAGCAAATTTTATTAGTTGGTGCCGTATTCTTCATTTTTGTTGTTGCCATTCCTTTGTCCTTCATTGTTATTGAAGTTAGTATTCAGTCAAACTAGGCAGTCACCTAGGGCCTCCTATTTTTATGGGCATCGCAATGCAGATTAAAACAACATTTTTTTAGAAATCCTACTTCGATGAATTAATTTTATATACCTGTTTTATTAGCTTCCTGCCTAATTCGATTTTTCTAACGGTTGATAGTAAATATTTGTCAAGTTTCTTGAGTTTAAGACCAAATTTTTTAATTAATTTAAGCATGATAGAACATTTAAGCATGATAAAACAAAAAAACATTTTCGGTATTTCTATACCATCTTCGGTGTTCGAATTCTAAAATGGAGTCAATTCTGATGGTGAAGGCCAACCAACTCGGAGAGGATTACCTCCGCTACCTTCTCATCTTTCACCACGCAAGGACGAACGTATGTCCATTATTTATTAAACGAACTATGAAAACTATTCACTAAACATTTGAGAAATTGTTTAAATCATTAGCAAATTTTTTTTTATTTCATTTAATAAGAAAATATTAACAGAAAATGTTTGTCTGTAAGTCAGCACAAACACAAATTCAAAAATTTGGCAACGCCTTGGAAGTTACCTGGGTTTAAGACAATTTGAACTGGATGCCATAGAAATTCATTTAATAAAGACAATTAAATTTATATACTGATCAACCATTAGAAAAGAAATAAATAATGAAGATTAGGCGCACAGACATTTAAAATTCCGAGTTCAAAAACCGTAAAATCCCAAAGAATAAAAATTTAGAAAAAATTTGTGTGACGATTTTGTGGTGAAAAGTGAACTTAAGTAAACGCGGAAGTTAAATTCTCTAAGCATATATTGCACTGGTACAATCGTGTCATGCTATGTGTGTATATTTAAACAGGCATCATATATGACATATGTATATGAGCACATATATATATATGTATATAAATGAATGCATACATGATGTCAGATAGTTGAGTTTCATGTTAATGCAATATAGTATAGCTATAGATTGTGTTAAATATACACTTTTTAATAATAAACACCCCAATTGTTTTCAGTATATGTGTATTAAACGTAATATTTAATTAATTAAATGGTAAATCATTACTATTGAAATTAATCACATATAGTAGTATGTATTTGAAATCTACGTGTTAAAATAAAAAGCAGTTGGATCAGTTAAACTTCCTAGTTTAAGTTAAAGAATAAATTGTTGCGATTTTTATAAATATCTCAATATTTTAAAATATCATCTTTACAAAGCATGTATACGTAAATTAGGTAGGTTACCATATCATGTGCAATTATTTTTTGTATGATAAGATCTGTTAATTTTTTTGGATTTCCAATCAAATTGGTAAGAACATCCTATCCAAAAATATATTTTCACTAACCAAATTCTTAATTGGTAGGTGGAAGATTCTCATAGGATTGGCGGACTAAAAAATTTCTGTAATATTTAAATTAAACAAACAAACACACAAACAAGCAAACAAATTAGCGAGCAAACAAAAAAACTAATAAACATCGTCATGGGCTCCATGAATTCAGAAGATGAAAATTGGTATGCCTGCTCCGATTGGCTGGAGAGGTGTGCAATGATAACTGTAGAACAGAACAAATCAATTTCTAGCATTGAACACCTAGCCACCATTCTTAAAGATGGCGTTCTTCTCTGCAACTTGTGCAACAAAATCAAACCTGGCTCCATTGATATCAAACAGACCAGTCAAAAACCTCAGTACAGTCAGGTATTCAAAATTATTAATACATTATATATTCTATTGTAGGTAATTAATTAATTATTATTAACTTTTTATAAATGATATTTATTCATGGTAATTCATGGTATTTATTCATAAAAACTTCACGAGAAAGTCTTATGAGAACACAGAAAACTTCATGAAGTTCACTTGTATTGTTTGTAATTACTTCAGACCAATGAATCAAACATTTGCATTTTATAAAGAATGTATGTAAATGCATATACCTAAAACTAACTAACTTTGTGGCAGTGCTTTAGTTTGACTGACAAGTTGTGACTGACAAGTCACTGGGCTTCCGAACCCGCGACAAAGCACTCTGCCCTCTTAGCAGAGCTAAATCCTTGATTTTAAAATGTGTGCGTATCTTTTAGTGTGCACGTCTGTCTCTTTACTATTTGTTTGTCTGTCAGTTTACTTTTTGATACACCGCAATGAATGATTTTTTAAAACGGTTTTCAACTAATCAAACTTCGCCAAAGTTCACATTGCAGTTCCAAATAGAAAAACAAATTCACTAGACGTGTTGAGAGGTGGAGAGGAAATAAGACCTATAAATTCCCTTAAAGATCGATCGAATAAATGACCAAATGAATGAATAAATGAACGAACGAACGAACAAATGAATGAACGAATGAATGGAATGAATGTAAAAATGAGTCAGTGATCGAAAGACTGAATTATTGGTCGATTGATGTTGTTTATGTTTTAGGGCCGACTTTTATGAATTATTTTGATATTCAACTGTTAAATATTGATATTTTTATTATTACATTTTGGTTCTTTTGTTTATAGGATTTATTTTGTCGATATTTTATCCAATAAATATGAGTTTTTACTCATTAATTTCACTACTGTAAATTTATTTAAACATATTTTTAAACTTTTCAATGAAGAAATTTCATAAAAATTTCATGAGAGTTCTTACGAGAATTTTAAACGTTATTTCACATGTGGCTGTTTGACAATAATTACACTCCTTTATTATGCACCAGCTGTAAAAAATGTTATATTTTCAGGGAGTTTACACTAATTTTCTTTAATTGCACATCTTAGCAGTGCTGCTCTGTGGATTATACATATATAATCTGATATTGGATCAAGATGAATTAATTAATATGTAGCGGTTTATGTGTGTTTGTGTTTTTGTCTGTGTGTTTTTGTCTGTGTGTTTGTGTGTTGTCTTTCTGTTTGAAATCGCAAATTTCAATTTAAGACGAAAAGCGAATCCGAAAAACATTAACTATTTGAAAATTAATCATGAGAATGTATTTATCTTCTTAAAAACTTCTTGATATAACGTTCACAGATCAAAATACAACATGAAAATATGTAACAATATGAAAAATTCCAAGTTCAATTATTTTTAAACCAATCAAACTCACATACACGAATCCTTAGTTCCTCTGGCAGAGAAACGTCCATACATTCCTGATGGCCTGTCAAAATGCCTTCGGTCTGGACAAGAAGAAACATCTCTTTGAGGTGCCTGACCTTGTAGAGTTGCAAAACTTTGGAAAGGTTTGGAATTTTTTTATTTAAATGCACACGCCCAAACGCACGCACGGACACATACATACATACATACATAGAGAGAGAGAGAGAGAGAGAGAAAAGAGAGAGAGAGAGATAAGAGTATATTCGTATCCAGCCACACGCAGCTGAGCGCTCCAATGACGCCAGTTATAATTGAATAATTATTTATAATTTAAAATTATAATTATGCAAATTTTTATTTTGCCACCACATCAGGTTATTTTTACACTATCGAAACTCTCTCAAACTAAAGAAGCCAGAGCCAAAAATATCAAGTTAGTCGGTTTTTAATCTGCTCAACCAGACTTGCCTGTTGCGTTATGTGTAATATTCATTTGATCAATTAACTAGCTGATTAATTGGTTTGTAATTAAGATGATTAGCAATAATAATTAACTTAGAAGCATTTGCGACGTCATTAAACATGAAGTACTTAATAACGATAATGATGATGCTGGTGGTTATTGCGATACTGATGATGATTGTGGAGATGATGATAGTTAGAAAAATAACTTTTTAATGATGATGATGTTTATTAATAACTTTTTTATTTTTAGACCATTCACTGCTAAAGAATGCGCCAAATATGTTATTGTGTAAGTTATGATGACAATGATGATGATGATGGTGGTGGCGGTGATGATGATGATGGCGGTGATAACGATGGTGAAGATGATGATAATGGTGGTGATGAATGTGATGATGATGATGAATATGATATTATCAAGATATATTTTGGTTAATATAACTAGCCATGTACAACATCAACATCATCATCTTCACTTTTGTTCACCTTGTTACTATCATCATCATCATTCTTATTATTGCCATCATAATCATCATTATCATTACATTCATCATCATTTTTACCATCATCACCAGGAAAGATATGTTAGTAGAGGATGATGATTCGTTCTCTTTATATGGAACAAGTTTGGATGATCTTGGTGAGATGATGATGATGATCATATATAACGATCATGATGATGATGTTGATGATGCTGATGTTTTTAATGATGATGATGGTGATCATCATATTTAATGCTGTTGTTGATGATGAAGAAGATGAGGATGGTGATCATCATATTTAATGTTGTTGTTGACGACGATGATGAAGATGAGGATGATAAAAATGATAGCAAAACATCTTCTCAATAGGAAACAGTGATGTTTGTGAGGAAATTTACGACACGTTGGTTTACGGTTCTGTTAGTCTGTTTTGAGTTTTTTTTATATTCTTTGTATGTTTTGTATGTATGTGATATACATGTTTATATTTTTTTATTCTGATATGTGTTTGTATATGTCTGTATGTGTTTATCTATGTTTGTATATTTTTTAGGAATGTTCGTATGTTTATTTTTTTATGTTCTTTGTATGTTTTTTATGTATGTGATATACATGTTTGTATTTTTTATTCTTAAATGTGTTTGTATATGTTTGCATGTATAATTTTTTTAAGAATGTTTGTATGTGTATTTTTGTATAATTTTTGTATGTTCAGTATATTTTTATCATTGTCTCTCCCCATTATCTTAATCATCGTCAACGTCATAATAATGATATCATTATGATCGACAATATCTTTGCATGTTTAGTTTCTTCGTATGTGCCTCTGTGTGTTTGTATATGTTTGCATATGTTCGTCTATGTTTGTATGTGTTTGTGTGTTTCATTAGATGCAGAAACCAGCGGCAAAAGCATCAACACCCCGAACGAAAAAGGATTCTTGCCTGGATGAACTTGTCGCGACGGAAAAAAACTTCATTGATGTTCTCGCTATGATCAACAATGTTTGTTTGTTTGTGTGATTGATTGTTCTATTGGCTAATTGATTGATCGATAATTGGCTAGTTGATTGATTGGTTTGTTGATTGGTTGGTAAATTAAATTGTTAATTGATTGATTGATTGATTGATTGATTGATTGATTGATTGATTGATTGATTGATTGATTGATTGATTGATTGATTGATTGATTGATTGATTGATTGATTGATTGATTGATTGATTGATTGATTGATTGATTGATTGATTGATTGATTGATTGATTGATTGATTGATTGATTGATTGATTGATTGATTGATTGATTGATTGATTGATTGATTGATTGATTGATTGATTGATTGATTGATTGATTGATTGATTGATTGATTGATTGATTGATTGATTGATTGATTGATTGATTGATTGATTGATTGATTGATTGATTGATTGATTGATTGATTGATTGATTGATTGACCGATCGATCGATCGATCGATCGATTGATTGATTGATTACTTGATTGATTACTTGATTGATTACTTGATTGATTGATTGATTGATTGATTAATTGACTTTACTGACTGATAACTGACTGACTGGCGGACCGATAGTATTAATAAAATAAATAATATCCATAATTGTTTATTTCCTGAAGATTTTTGCTCGAAATTTGAAGAGCCACCTGTCTGCCAGCGAAAGTAACGAAGTCTTCTTTAAAATTGAAGTTAGTGACGACGATGACGACGACGATGATTATTATTATATCCACATCATTACCATAAGCGCCTACAAAATCATCACCAACATTATCACCACTAGATACAAAACAATCATCATCCCAAAACAGGACCTGCATAAAGTCCACCAAGATTTCTACCGCAAGATTTTAGCGGCGCGAAACAGCGGCTCTCCAGCTCAAGAAGTTTCAAAAAGTTTCATAGAATTCAAACTCCCGTTCACCATATACGGGGATTACGTGGCACACATCAACAGGTCAACCGCAGCACTCGACGCGATTTGCACCACAAATTCACCGGCGCGAAAACTCATCGAGGTTTTTTTTTTTAGTGAATTTATTATTTGTTATCGTCATTTCATCAATGATAATGAAATTAATTAATAATAATTATGGTTATAATTTTGAGTAATATAATTTTAGATAATATGATTCCTAATTATTTTTTAATTTTGGATGTAGGATGGTGCCATCGTAGCGAAAGTTAAACTCCGTGACCTACTGACAGTACCGGTGCAAAGGATCCTCAAATACCACATCATTATCAAGGTACTTTCATGACGGTGATGGTGACTACGACGACGATGATGATGATGATGGTATTGATAATGATGATGATGATGATAATATAGGAACTGATGAAGCTCTGCAGTTCCAACCAGGATGAAATGAATGAAATTAAACGTGCTCTGGAAGCTGCCGAGGTGACGATGGTGGTCATTCATTTATTCATTCATTCATTCATTCAATTGTTCACTCATTCACTTTTTCACTCATTCACTCCTAGGACCTCAATGTATATATCAATGAAGTGAAGAGGGACAGCGAAAACTTAGACACCACAAGAGAAGTGCAGAGCAGGTGATGATAATGATCCTTTTGTTGATGATGATGATGATGACGATGACGACGATGACGATGATGAGGATGAATAAATTTAATGAAAAAATGTTTGTTGGTGGCTGGAGTGTTGAAGATAACGACGACGATGATGAAGATGAAGCTGGCTGATGATATCTGATACGGATAATATGACGGTGATATGATATCATAATAGTTATCAAAAGGATGATAATTATTTCAATAATTAAGGTTAATTATTATAATAATGATTTATAGTAATTATGATTTCAAAAATTATTCCATTCAGCATCGTTGACATAAGGAAGTATTTCGTTAGTGGTTCTCCTTCTACACTTTTGATAAAATTTTGAAAATTGATGTCATGATGATTGTGATGATGATATTAAAGATGGTGACGATGATGATGGTATTAAAAATGGTGATGTTGAAGGAGTAAAAGAAGATGATGATGGAGATGATGGTGATAATGATGACGATAAAGATGATGACAAATTAATTAATTAAAATTTCAATTAATTAATGAACAAATTAAAACTGTCTCATTTAAAAGCTTCTAAAATTTTTTTTTTTCAATAAGTTTATTTTTAATTTATTAAAAGATTTTAAATTATTTTTTTAATTGAGATTATTTGGAATATTATAATTACATAATTGACAGAATACTTAACATATTTATTCCTGCATTTATTAATTTTATTTTTTTTAATTTTTTCCAAAATGTTTTTCATCAAGTCCCCAGATCAAAAATGCAAATTAGAAGTATATGGCAGACGACACTTCGATGGCGAATTTAAAGTTAAGTGCGTGTCTGAACCCAAGCCCTCATATGATAATAGGTTGGTTGGTTGGTTGGTTGATTGGTTGATTGAATAGTTGGTCGGGTGGTCGGTCGGTTGGGTGGCTGGTTGGCTGGCTGGTTGGTAGGGGTTGGTAGGTAGGTTGGTTGGTTGATTGGATATTGGATGGTTGGTCGGGTGGTTGGTCGGGTGGTCGGTCGGTTGGCTGGCTGGTTGGTAGGTTGGTTGGCTGGCTGGTTGGTTGGTTTTTTGTTAAATGATTGATTAATTGATAAATTGATTGAATAGTTGATTGTATAGTTGATTGATCGATTGATTGATTGACCGATTGGTTGATTCTTGATTGATCAGCACGCGAATGATTTGATTTTGATTTTTTTTTTCTTCAGATACGTCTTCCTCTTCGACAGAGTTGTCATCATCTGCAAACCCGTCCGCAATGTGATTATTTTAATTACTAAGGATTCATTTTATTTTTTCGTTATAACATTCATTCTTTTGTTAAATGGTATAATTACGCTATGATTGTCATCTTGTTATATTTGTCCCCTTCGCTATTTGTCAATCTATTGTAAACAATAGAATCTTTTCATACAAGAGAGGCTTTATAAGCAGAAGGAGTAGCAAAGTCAGTAGGGAGGTTTGAAGCGAAGTTGTAACTGTGATTTATGTAGTTACTTGGATCAGTTTAGTGTTTCTATTACTGTTGGCATTCGAATAAACGTTCAACAAAGTTTGCGTTTGAAGCAGTTGGGTTCGTCTTGTTGGAATGATCGTTGGAAGCTACAACACTGGTTTTGGAAATATATAGAGGTTATTGAAGTTATAATATCGGTATTGGTAGTTACGAGCGTTAAAGTGTTAGAACAATATAATTCTATTTATTGACCAATTAAAAAACTTTTCTAATTTCTTTATTCAGTTTTTAATTTATGAATTTATTTATTATTTCATTTATTCAATTCATTCATTCGTTCATTCATTTATGCATTCATTCATTCATTCGTTTGTTTGTTCGATCATTTATTCATTCATTTGTTCGTTCATTCATACGTTCATTAGAGCGAGTATGAATACAAAGGAGTCATGGACATGGAAAAATGTACTATTTCGAATGGGCCGGTTGAGAAGGTGGTGACGATGATGACGACGACGATGATGATGATGGTGACGATGACATTGATGGTGATGATGACTGTGATAAAGATGCTGATGGTAACGACAATGATAACGATGAGGAAGACGATGATGAGGATGACTTTGATGATGATGACAATGACGATTTCAGGGTATTCAGGCGATCAAGTTGTCAGAGTCTGGCGATAGAGGGGACGTCTATTACATCAGCGCCAAGAAAGCCGAACAAATCACCAAACTTAAAACTTTCCTAGAAATTGTAAAGTGGGTAAAATTTTTATGACGATGACGATGATAATGATGAGGAGGATGAAATGGATGCTGCTGCTGCTGCTGATGATGATAACAGTGATTACGATGGTGATGAACTTGACGGCGATGATGACAATAAAGATGATCGTTTTCACCATAACCATCTTATTTTTCATCATAAAGTTCACCATCATCATTTTCATCACCAACTCAGAGACAACTTACTGCCAAACGGACACGACAACAACAACCACGACTTCGTCCTCACAACCTTCCATGAAGCTACCACATGCACTGTTTGTGGAAAGCTGCTCAGGTGTGTGGCAGCTGTAGCAGCTGTTGTAGCAGCACAGCAGCAGTAGTAATATTATTATTAGTAGCAGTAGAAGTAGTAGTTATTGTAGTAGTAGCGATAGTTTGAGTAGTTGTTGTAATTGTAGTGTTGCATTAGTAGTAGTAATAGCAGTAGTAGTAGTAGTAGCAATAGTTGTTGTTGTTGTAAGTAGTAGCAGAAGTAGTAAAATTGTTTCTAGCCGCTTATATAAATTCTGTTCCACTTTACAGAGGCCTACTTAGCCAGGGATATCGGTGCAAAAGTATGTTGTTGTAGTTTTTGTTGTAGTAGTAGTTGTAGTTGTTGTTGTCCTTATCTTGGTATAGATTTGTTGTTGTTTTTGCTGTTGTTGTTGATGATGTTGTAGTTGTTGATGTTGTAAGAGTTGTTGTTTTTTGCTGTTGTTGATGTTGTAGTTGTTGTTATTGATGTTGTTGTTGTAGTTGTTGCAGATGTTGTTGTTGTTGATGTCGTTGTTTTAATGTTGACGCTGGTGTAGCTGCCTTTATAGTGTTAGCGTTATTTTTTGTTGTTTTTGTTGTTGGCTATTAAAATTTTCTCCATTCTTCTCAACTGGTAAATGTCCGTTAATTACTTGTTATAAAATTGTTGCAATAAAAAACTGTCTGACGTAAATTAAAGTTAATTATTAAATATCCAAATATGTAATTTAATTAAATTTAAATATTATATTTTAATTTTCACAGAAACGCAAAAAATTGTCCACAAAGAATGTCTCAGCAAGGCAACTGCACCGGCTAATACAGTTGGCTAATTTTTTTCAAATTAAAGTTTTATTTAGGTTTTTTTTTAAAGTTTCATCATCATTTCTACAGATATTGACCTTTAACCTTTTAACCTTTATTTCCTACTCTTCATTATACAATCTACTAATTGAAGGAAATGTTATTTCTTGTTATTACCCTGACATGAAATTAAGGTAAATTTTCGTTTGAAATGTTTTACCACAAAGTTCTGTAAATCGGCTGCTCCAAATCAGCGTTCGCCTGCGCCCCAACCACAACCGCCACAGTCGAAATCGAACCGCCCTAATGTCGTAGCTGCAGCGCAACCCGTTGAACCACCCAGGATACGGAGACCTGCTCCCGATCCCAACAACTATCGAAACTCCGATCCTAGATCTCATGTCTGGTATGTTGATTGTTTTCTAGGATGGCTTTCACAATTTGATGTTTATTTTTTTGTGATTTGATGATAATTTAAGTGGCTTCATTTGTTTTATTTGTTTGTTTCTTTATTTGTTTGTTTGTTTGTACAGTTTGTTTGTTTGTTTGTTTGTTTGTTTGTTTGTTTGTTTGTTTGTTTGTTTGTTTGTTTGTTTGTTTGTTGTTTGTTTGTTTGTTTGTTTGTTTGTTTGTTTGTTTGTTTGTTTGTTTGTTTGTTTGTTTGTTTGTTTGTTTGTTTGTTTGTTTGTTTGTTTGTTTGTTTGTTTGTTTGTTTGTTTGTTTGTTTGTTTGTTTGTTTGTTTGTTTGTTTGTTTGTTTGTTTGTTTGTTTGTTTGTTTGTTTGTTTGTTTGTTTGTTTGTTTGTTTGTTTGTTTGTTTGTTTGTTTGTTTGTTTGTTTGTTTGTTTGTTTGTTTGTTTGTTTGTTTGTTTGTTTGTTTGTTTGTTTGTTTGTTTGTTTGTTTGTTTGTTTGTTTGTTTGTTTGTTTGTTTGTTTGTTTGTTTGTTTGTTTGTTTGTTTGTTTGTTTGTTTGTTTGTTTGTTTGTTTGTTTGTTTGTTTGTTTGTTTGTTTGTTTGTTTGTTTGTTTGTTTGTTTGTTTGTTTGTTTGTTTGTTTGTTTGTTTGTTTGTTTGTTTGTTTGTTTGTTTGTTTGTTTGTTTGTTTGTTTGTTTCATTAGGTTTTCTACTGCAAGTAGCAGACAGGAAGCTAACAAAATATTGAAAAATATGCCTGATGGTTCGTATTCAAAAATTACTCTAACTTTATTTTTACTATTACTTTTATTTTATATATACATATGTTTTTACTTACATGTATTTGTAATTATTTTTTTACTTTATTTCAATTTATCATTCAATTTATCATTGCATTATAATTATTTTAAAATTTTATTTATCAATAAGCAACAAATCTTCAGAAAACGGGTGTTTAAAGTGGTCTCTTTGCAAAAACATTGCTTTCGATGAATAAAATTCATTATACAATTGATATATATCTAAATAAATAGATATCAAAAATATCAAAAAAGTGATATATTAGTAATTTAAAATTATTTTTCGGAGGTTGTTAAAACTTTTTGTTAAACTTCAGGAACGTTTTTGGTGAGGTGGTCTGAAGAGCAGAAGAGATACGTCATTAGCATGAAGTCGGTTTTTTGGTGACGTCATCATCATCATCATCATCGTCGTTGTAGTAAATTATCATCATCATTATCATCATCCTAGTCGTCATCATCATCGTCACCATCATCTTTATCATCGTCGTCATCATCTTCATTGTCGTCATCACCATTCCAGGTGTGAAACTCTCCGGCACATAAAGATAAATGAAACGGAGAGACGCGAGTACAACCTCAAACCCGCCATCTCTTTCAAGAACGTCCCGGTGTGGTGGTGGTAATGGAGATGATGACGATGGTGGTGGTGTTGATGATGATATGTTGATGATGATGATGTTGATGATGACGATGGTGATGGTGGTGATAATAATACCCTGCTTCGTTTCAATACTTCAGGATTTGATCGTCTACTACAGAGCGAACAGTCTCCACGAAATTTTTCCAAATATAACTATGCCTTTGAAGCAAGTCTATTCCGAAGTGAAGGGGGACTTAGGTGATGATGACGTCAATTCATTCATTCATTCACTTATTCATTCATTTATTAATTCATCCATCCATCTATTCGTTTATTCACTTATCCATTCATTCATTCATCCATCCATTCATTCAATTATTAGTTCGTACGTCTATCTTTTCATTCATTCATTTAATTATTCATTCATTCATTCATTCATTCTTTCATTCATTCATTCTTTCATTCATTCATTCATTCATTCATTCATTCATTCATTCATTCATTCATTCATTCATTCATTCATTCATTCATTCATTCATTCATTCATTCTTTCATTCATTCATTCATTCATTCTTTCATTCATTCATTCATTCATTCATTCGTTCGTTCGTTCGTTCATTCATTCAGTTAAAAAGAAGCAACTATGCAGAGCCATTTACAACTTTTCGGCAAGCGGGGCGGACCAGTTATCGTTCGAGGAGGGTGACGTCATCGAGATCATTTCCAAGAGAGAGAACTGTGGCTGGTGGAAAGGGATGCTTAGAGATAAAGTTTGTTTGTTTGTTTTGTTTTGTTTGTTTGTTTTTCTGTTTGTCTGTCTGTTTGTTTTGTTTGTTTTCTTTCTGTCTGTCTGTCTGTTTGTTTTTTGTTTGTTTGTTTTGTTTAACTGTTTTTCTTTAAAAAATCAGAATTCGACAGACACTGAATCGGTTACAACATTGCATGATGTCGTAGTTGAATGTTTTTGTATGTTTTGTGTATGTGTTTATATGTTTTTGTATGTGTTGTGTATGTATTTGTATGTTTTGTATGTTTTTTATATGTTTGTATGTTTTTGTTTGTTTGCACATTTGTCTGCTTGTATTTTATTCTGTATACTTTTGTATGTTTATAATGTTTTGTTCGTTTTTCTGAATTTGTTTGTTAATTTTTTTTGAATGTTTGTGGATGTTTGTAAATGTTTTCACTGACAAACTGTTCCATTTGTAATACTAAGAGTAACTCTAGTGAAACTATTAAAACCGCTGCAGTCTGGAAATGATTGATGGAGTGATGTGATGGCTATTGAAGTGTTGCTATGTGTAAATGTACGCTCTTTTAATATTAGTCTTGGGCGTCATATGTTACTTTGTTTTGACGTCGCGTGTGGCCTGGTCTTTGTGGCTCTTGTGGCTGTGTTGTTGTCAGTATTTTTAGTAATATTTGTAGTAGCCTTAGTAGTAGAATTCGTTCCAGTATTTGTAGTATTAATAAAAATATTAGTTGTAAATTGATGATAGTAGTTCTAACAGTGAAATGGTAGTATTAGCAGTAGCAGTAGTAGTTGTGGTGGTAGCTACAATAGGTATAGTAGTACTAGTAACAGTAGTAGTAGTAGCTGAAGTAGTAGGTAGTAATAGTTGTACATGAAGTATAAGCAGCAGCATTATTAATACAGTAGTAGTAGTGGTAGTAATAGTAGTGCTAGTAGTTGTAGTAGTAGTAGTAGTAGTAGTAATAGTAGTGGTAGTAGTAGTAGTAGTAGTAATAGAAGTAGTAGCTGTCAGAGTATCGAATAGTTCGTGTGTGTGTGTGTGTGTGTGTGTGTGTGGGTGTTTGTGTGTGTGGGTGTTTGTGTGTGTGTTTTATTTGATATAGCGTGTAAGTTTGATTGATATTACATTTTAACAGAAAGGCTATTTTCCAAATAATTACGTCGAAGAGATGCAATGATGAGGACGATGACAGTAAAGATGATGATGGTGATAGAGAAGATGATCAAGATGATGACGAAAAGGATCAAGATGATGAGGAACAGGATGACGGTGATGGAGATGATGAAGAAAATGATGATGAAGATGATGATGAAGATGATGATGGTGGAGAAGAAGAGGAACAGAAAGTTGGCAATGGAGTTGCTGATGAAGATGGTGATGGCCATGAAGATGATGATGAAAAAAATGGTGGTGATGAAGTGATGATAATAATAATAAGGATATATATTTTATTATACTAATAATGATGACGGATAAATTATGATAATGATATCAGTAATATTGCTGCCAATGAAGGCATAAAAAAATGATGTGTATGTGAATGATGGTGATGATGAAAAAGATGCTGCTGTTACAGTTGCTGCTGTTGCTGCTGCTACAGTTGCTGCTGCTGCTGCTGCTACAGTTGCTGCTGATGATGACGACGACAATGACGATTATGATTTTGAAAATTTTAACGATGACGTCATTTTGATGGATGTCATTCCTCATTAGACCAATTGTGATGGATGTTAATGGAGACGACGACGATGATGATGATTTGCACGATGAGGATGGTATGATAACATGCAAGGAAGGATGGTATGATAACATGGACGATGATGATAACGTTAATATTACAAGTACTTACAATATGAGTAAATTTAACTGACGCACTAAATGTATGTAGCAGAATTTGACAATGATCTGAACTTAAAAACCCAGCGAATTTTAAAATTAATATTTTATTCTTTGTTTTTCTTAATATCTTATTTAATTTCGTTCGATTTTGTCTTATATCTCTCCATAATTTACACAATCGTATATTTAATAATTAATGAAATAATATTTATGATTAGTTAATTCATAATTAGTTAATCAATAATTCTTTCCTATCGTGTTATTTATTAATTCCATTCTTATTCTTCTCCGTCTGTATTTGTGTGCGCGTTACACAGAGGTCTTGTCAAAGTTTGGTACTATCCCAAATGCCTTTACCTTTTGCTTAATAGGTGTGTGTGTGTGTGCGTGTGTGGTGTGTGAGTGTGTGTGTGTGCGTGTGTGTGTGTACTATTTAGGGGTGTATCTCTTCATTAAAAATTGTTAACTTGAATGAAATGAGTAATGTATAAAAACTTAAGATAACATTGTTTTATAGATATATGAAAAATTAATGAAAAAAAAGTTAAAGTTTAGAATAAGATTAATGTTTAACGATAATAATAAGAATAATAATAATAGTATTAATTGTAGTAAATATCTTCATATTATTAATAATTGTTTGTTATTCGTTTTAAAAGTTGTTATAACGATGTATCGGATTATTATTATTGATATTATTAATTATTAATGTTATTTTTTATTATTATTGTTATTATTTATTATTATTGTTATCATTTTCTATTACTCTTATGGTGTTGTTGATATTTTTTGAAGCCATTTCTAATACGAATTGAGATTTTAGTTAATGAATTTTCGTTTACTTCAGCTGTTTTATTTAATTTAAATAATTCAATAATTAAATTATCTATTTATTGTACTTCTATTAGTTTTAATTATTTATTGGTTTTATTTAAATGTTCCAATGTAGTCTAATTTCAATTTGTTTTTGTGTGTGTTTTGTGTGTTTTATGTGTTTTTTATGTTCTTTTTTTGTTTTTTGTTCCCTTCTTTGGAATCTCTCGTCCATGTATATAACTTTATAATTTCAAATGGACTTCCTCACTTGAAAAAATTACTTTGAAACGCTCGCACGCACATACACACGAACTCACACATGTACACATTCACGCACACATATACACTACACACACAAACATATAAATTTATATATACAAACATATTCACACAGACACATACTTGTACACACCAACAAATGCACACTAACTCATGCATACACTAACTCAGACACACACACACACAAATTTTTATTTTTAATTTTTATCTCGATGTTTTACATTTAAAACGATTTAATTCTTTTATGAATTTTTTAATGCAATTGAAAAAAATATTGTTTTGTTTAGTTTTTTTGCAGAATTCCAAAATATTGAAAAAAATGAAATTGTACATATTAACACTGACAAGACGCATGTGTTGTCGTGTTTTTTCCTGGTTAAAATCTCCAAACCAAATATGATCAACCTCACTCATTACCATCTGGAATGCAATTTTCAGTTTCGTTATAGTTGATAAGTGCGATGGTGTAGCGGTAAAATGCATGGCGCTGCTCTGACAGTGGCCGGATTCGATAACATAGAGATCCATGATTGTCGCCATCATTCTCATCAGACCTTTGGCAATCTTTATCATCATGATGCTATCAACGTAATCCGTTTTTGTAATAAAATTGTGATACAATCATCATTGATATCTTTATCATTACCACTAATATCATCATACCATTGTCAGCATCATCATCATAATCGTTATCATCGTCATCATCGTCGTTGTCGTCAGCGTAATCGTCAATCCAGCATTATTCTAATGACAGATTAGTACACAGGGAACTCAGTTAAGTGATCCACTTTCATCAACATTACCTCTAGCACCATTATCATCATCATCATCATCTTTACAACCATCATCATCATCATTTCATCGCCATCATTATCATCATTGCCTCGATCCCAATCATCATCATCATTCCATCACTGTTGTCATTATCGTCATCATCGCCGTCGTTATCGTGGTTTTCAATTACATTTTCGCCATCTTCATCTTCGTCATCATCATCGCCATCTTCATCTTCGTCATCGCCATCTTCATCTTCCTCATCATCATCATCATCCTCGTCACTCTCCTCGTCAACAACAATTAGCACTCGTGAAATGCGATCCCGTAAAACTGTTTCTTTTTTTATAAAAACTTTTTTTAATTTTTTTTACTTTTTTCCATTTTTTTCTTCCATTTAATAATTTACTGCGAATGTACGCTTGGATGAGATATCGATGCGACAGACAGCGAATTTTCATTTGTACATGTCTGATTGAATAATGATGCTTTCGACTGATTGATTGATTTGAAAAAATAACATTTAACGGCTTGTTATATAACATGTTTGTTTCTATTGTGTTCGTTGTTATTTTATTTTATACCATTTCGGTTTTTTATATTTATATTCATTCATTCATTCATTCATTCATTCATTCATTCATTCATTCTTACAATTCTTTCTTTTATTTTGTCGTTTTTTTTCTTTCGTTCGTCTGTCCAATCGTTCGTCCATCCATCACCAATGCAAGTGGCGATGGATGGATTGAAATTTGATAACAGAATAAAAAGGAGAAAAGTATAAAAAAAAATTCTCCTCGGATTGATTGACAAGGTAATAAAGGAATAAAATAAAAGAGTGAGAAACTATTGTCCGTCTGTCGGCTGGCGTGTTGATGAGATTTTAGAAAGAATTGTTTCTCGGTTCTGGCGTCTTCTATAAAGGACGCTTTAACATTAAATAGACCATCTTTTGGCTGACTGATTGATCCGCTCATTCATAATAATAATAATAATAATAATAATAAAATAATAATAAAATAATAATAATAGTAAGCAGGACATATTGAATTATAATAATGCGAAGAATAAGAAGAAGAAATTGAAACGAGGAAGAGATAATGCAATCCTTTGATTGATTGAATAATTAACGCTCCATTCTTATTTGCATCACTGTTTTGATTCAATGGTTATTAAGTTTTAAACATGTTGGGTTAATGATAAATGGACACTGACACAGACGAGCTCATACAGACAAGTGATCGAACGCAACCCAAACAAAGGCCTGCGTTCGAAAACATTCACACACACGTAACAGCACACATACACACAAACACGCATGCTGTCACACGCAGACAGACACGCATTTTAAAATGCGTCTCAAGGCGAGCCAAGCATATGTTTGTAGGTAGGTAGGTAGGTAGGTAGGTAGGTAGGTAGGTAGGTAGGTAGGTAGGTAGGTAGGTAGGTAGGTAGATAGGTAGATAGGTAGGTAGATAGGTAGGTAGGTAGATTTTGAAATTGTAAATAATGTATATCACCGGACATCGCAATTTCATTAATGTGTGCAAATGAATGTATGGACACGTGCGATATTTGTTTCGCAAACAGCAGCCAAAAATAAAACAAAATAAACGAATAATAATTTTTTTTTATTTTATGAAAATAGAAATAAAAAAGTGAAAAAATTTGCAAATCGGAAATGGAACAAAGTAGAACAGAACATAAGAATTGGATAATGCACCAAGGGGTAACAAGGGCTAAGGGGTAATAAAATCGAAATACATGCTTTACATAAAAATTTTGATAACTAAACCACCGATGCAAATTGAAAACGTTTTTAAATATTTTAAAATTAATATTAACCGAATATTTTTATTTCTAGTCTAGAATGTTGCTTTTTCTTATTTAATATTTGTTGCTAAAATTAACAAAAAATCATTTTTAGAACAGAAGAATAAATGAAACAGACATCATTGAATTTGAGCGGCCTAATTGAGGAGATATTGCCCTTCCAAAACGGATCCGGAGTTTATTTTTTCACCTGAAAATTTCCTTCAAAAACATGAGAAAAAATAAAATAAAACTTCCAGAAAATACTCAGCCATTCGAATCCAGAAGTGAAAAAAGTATGGAAATCAAAAATATTTTAAAACAATAAAAAATCGCGATAATAAAAAAAAACATTTTTAAACTTTTTAAAAACATATTTAAATGCATTAAAAATTATTCAACCAAGTAAAAAACCATTGAAACTAAACAAAAATGAAAGAAAACCCAAACCCCAGACGTCATTCAATAACCGCATGAACGCACGTCTCATCAAACACAAACTCGTCTAAGTTTTTGCTCACATATTTATTCACACATAATGAAAGAAAGAGACAAACCGAAAAAGACAGCAAGACAGCGAGAAAAAAAAGAGAGAGAGAGGAGTAAAAAAGAGAAAGATACCGACTTGTTGCTAATACACGCATATATACAGAAAACTGATAGACACAGGTTAAATGAACAAACAAGATAAACATATGTTTAGAAAATAGGCACTGCACACATATAAACCAGATTTACACATACATACGCCTGATACACACCTAAATAAACACACACACACACAATCATACACACACATCCACACACCTAAACATTCACACACCACTCACACACACATACACACACACGCACACACAGATAAATTCCTACATATATGAAGATTTGGTAAAATAGTATTTTACGACTCTAACTTCGCAGCAGCGTTGCACGTTCATAAATT